TCAAAATATTAAACCATATACCCTTTATATATATATTACATGGATAAAATCATTTGATAGATAGTTGCCTTCTTTTTTCCATTGTAGATTTTATGTCCCAAAGTAAACTAATCTATAGGGATTTTATATTGAGAGGAAGAATGAAGAATTCAAACTAAAATATTCATCAAAATATCAAGTTTCTATTTACAGCAATGCGATATCAGTTGGCTTATAGTATTTAACATCTCAAAACTTAGATTGGTAGTTTTATGGGTTTTTTTAACGAAACAATATCATGTATTTCGTTTTAGCGAAACAATATCAGGTATTTCGTTTTAACGAAATAATATCATGTATTTCGTTTAAACGAAAAAAAGTAATTCGTTGAATTGAATTAATTGTTTCGTATTACAAAGTATTGAAAATTGCGCCTAAGGAGGATTCCGTAGAAAGGTAACAATAGCTAGAAGTTTAATTACCATATTGTTTATATTACAGGTCAATATACTATAAGAGGAGTTCCTGAAAGTTATGCAGAGTTGGGTGAAAATTATAGATTACAATGTAATGTTACAGATTCACCTTCTGGTTTAGATTTCCGTAGAAACAATATTGTTGTATGTAATATGATTAATTGTGAGAGTCAATCAATAGATAATAGATATAAATGTGGATGTATCAATAATAACAACAAACAACTATATCTCAATATAAGTAATATAAATAAACAAGATGATACAACATGGTCTTGTAGAGGTAATTCTGGTGGACAAGGATCAACTAATGTATCAGTTTATTGTAAGTTTATTTTCATCTCTGTTTAATTTTCAGATTATCATTCTTAAGTCAAAATGGCAGGATAATACAAACTTAATTTTCATTTTCTGTGAAGCAAAAAAAAATTGTCCTTTCTCATTTTATTAGCAGCGTAATTTGGTTAAATTCAATCAAAGAAATAAAAAACGAAGTGATTTTTACAGATGGTCCAGAGAATATAAGATTTAACCCCACTAGTGATAATATAGATGGTATAGAAGGAAAGAGTCAGAGTGTCAACTGTTTAGCTGATTGTAAACCAGAGTGTAACATCACCTGGTCTAAAGATGGTTTAACAACAATTCTAAATAACCGTTTATCACTGAGTACTAGAAATCAAACTGGTTCTTATAACTGTACAGTTAAACATATCGTATTAAATAAACAACTTACAAAACAACTTAATGTTCAGATTTATTGTAAGTATATAATACTTTATTAATAAATACTAGATAACAAACTGGTTCTTATATCTGTACAGTTAACCATACTGTATTAAATAAACAACTTACAAAACAACTTAATATTCAGATTTATTGTAAGTGTATAATACTTTAAGAAGCACAAGACATTTATTAACTCAACGTTTCACATCCTCCTACAGGCGGCGTTATCAGGAGAAGTGTCACTTAAATAAACAACTTACAAAACAGCTTATTGCCCAGAATTATTGTAAGTATATAATACTATAACATGTTAACTGATTGTTATTATTTCAGATGGGCCTGATAGACTTACTTTCTCACCAGATGTAACAAGTATCAATATAACAGAAGGTAGAGATCAAACTATAACATGTTAACTGATTGTTATTATTTCAGATGGTCCTGATAAACTTACTTTCTCACCAGATGTAATAAGTGTCAATATAATAGAAGGCAGAGATCAAACTATAACATGTTTAACTGATTGTTATTATTTCAGATGGTCCTGATGAACTTACTTTCTCACTAGATGTAACAAGTATCAATATAATAGAAGGTAGAGATCAAACTATAACATGTTTAACTGATTGTTATTATTTCAGATGGTCCTGATGAACTTACTTTCTCACTAGATGTAACAAGTATCAATATAAAGAAGGTAGAGATCAAACTATAACATGTTTAACTGATTGTTATTATTTCAGATGGTCCTGATGAACTTACTTTCTCACTAGATGTAACAAGTATCAATATAATAGAAGGTAGAGATCAAACTATAACATGTTTAACTGATTGTTATTATTTCAGATGGTCCTGATAAACTTACTTTCTCACCAGATGTAACAAGTATCAATATAATAGAAGGTAGAGATCAAACTATAACATGTTTAACTGATTGTAATAAATGTAATTATAAATGGACTGGGCCAGTTTCATCATCAACTAAAGATCTTGTATTGACTCTAATAAAAAGAAATCAGGAAGGAAACTATAGATGTGAAGCTACCAATATTAAAAATACCAACCCTAAAACAAGATCTAAATCTATACAAGTTAATGTACATTGTAAGTATCTAATTCAATATATTACCCACCTCTGAAATGAAATAAAAGAAATTGGGCATTTTCTGATGATAAGTAACAGGGTTATTGTGCTCGTCCGAAAAGCTACGTTTAAATAAATGCAAAAGTCTTAATAGATATTTTTCAAACAGTATTGCTAAGCTTGTGATGTTTGTAAGTACTTTTGGACAATCACACTTTTCATTCACTGAAAAATCATTAAATCATGTACGGCTAATAATGGTATTAGTCTGTCAAATACTAAATCTTTACCTTTAAATATCAGATGTAAGTTTATATTAAGTCAGTATATACATGTACAGCTAATAATGATATGAATAATTCGTGTCTCCAGCCTACAAATAAACTATAATCACTAAAAAGTGCAAACTGATCTGATCATTGAAATAACATTTATTCAACTTCTTAGAATTTCTGATCAAGATTTAGTTTTTCTCAATGGTTTAACGCAGCTTTATATTTACTCTAGTGTTTTACATTAACCTTTTTTAAGGTCCACCAATACTTAAAGGTGAACTG